GGAGAAATATTTGCAGAAAATGGATTTTTAGTACGGTCAGATGCAAGAAGTAAAACTGATATTGAAGAAATACATAATTCTCTTAATGGAGTTTTATCTCTAGTTGGAGTGTCTTATTCTTATAAAAATGATAGTGATAATAAAAAATATGGATTTGTTGCACAAGAAGTACAAAAGATTTATCCAGACTTAGTGAAAGAAGATGATACAGGAAAATTGACAGTAGATTATTTAGGAGTTATTCCTCTTCTTGTTGAGGCATTAAAAGAAATACATAATAATGCACAAGGATTAAGAGAAATAGAAGAAATAAATGGAGTATCAAAGAAAGCTGATTGTGCAATTACACAGTTAGAAAAAGTATTATTTGAAATGAATTGTAATAATCCCCAACGAGAAGAAAAATCTAAATTCATTCAATGGAAAATACGTATGATGCACATATTTGGACCAATATCATTTTTAATATTTAGTTGTTTGTTTAGTTCCATTATTTGTATAATTATTGCAATTATCTTTCCATCAATGTACTTTTTAATGGGAATAACAATAATATTATCTATTCTATTATGGATTTTTGTAATAATTAATAAAACAGAAGTAATGAATTTCTTAAAAGCTAAAAAAGCATTCTTTCCAATAAGAAATAATATCAATTTTAAATGGAGACTATCCCAATATATTACATGGTATATTGTTTTTTCATTCTTAATGTCAATGTTAATGCTGTCTATTATCATTGGATATAATGTAATAACTCTTGTTATTTGTTATATTATTGGCGTAATAATATCATTAGTAGTATGTTATTTTATTAATAAAGCATCATATAGATTTGGATTTCCATATCAATATTCATTTATTGTTTTATTAATCTTTCAAGCTATTTGTATTGCAGTTATAATTCTTTGTACTGTATATCAACCATTTTATGAAGGAAAAAATTTTGGAGATGATTCTCAATATGTAATTTATCTTTCAGATAATGTAGAAGTACGTCATGTAACTATGCCTCAAATATCATGGAATTGCTTTTCACCAAAAATAATTACTGAACCTTATTTACCAAATGGATTATCATTTAATGTCTCACAGAAATTATTTTATTTATCTCATCCTTTTCTTATGGGAATTCCATATGGTGACATTGTTGACTCAGTAGTTAAAGTGAGTCTTCAATGTAATGGAATTGTCCTTCTTGATTATCCTACATTAACATTTAAAACATGTGCAAAAAATACTGATCCAGGATTATGTAGTATTAATTCATGTGGGTATTGTCGTTCATCAACATCAAGTTTCTGTGGGATATGTAATGATTATTTTAAAGAGCAATGTCAATCAGTCTCTGGTCTTTCTAATTGTTAATTTCTGTTTGTTTAGAAAAATGTTTTATATTTCAACTTTCATACAATTAAAAACCCTTAAAAAATTTTTTTAGTATTAGACAAAATAAATGAAAAAATACCAAAAAATCTCAAGATAAAGGAAAAAAAGTAAATGTGAGAACAAAAAAATTAAATAATAAAGCCAAAAAATAAAAATAAAAAAAGAAATGATATTTTAATTTTAAAGATTAAATGAGTAATATCTTTAGATTTAAAATAAATGAAAAGGTGTTATGTCATAAACATGAAGATCCTGAAGGAACATATAGAGAAGCAAGAATTATTGAAACAAGAGAACATAATGGAAATATAGAATATTATGTTAGATATACAGAATATAATAAACGATTAGATGAATGGACAGCAGCAATTAATATTATACGATATTCATCAAAAGAAAATATTATTAGACCTACAACAAAAGAAGATGGAGTTAGTCAACGTAAAATGACAAGGGCATTACGTCAATCAAATGTTTCTATGTTAGAAAAAGATAGTGAAGTTATTGATAAAACAACACCACAAGAAAATGAAATATTTCAAAGAACAAAAAATATTCAACATGTTACTATTGGAGATTATGATTTAAATGTTTGGTATTTTTCACCATATCCTGGAGAATATGGACATGCAGAAAGATTATATATTTGTGAACATTGTCTTAAATATATGTCTAAAGCAAATACTTATATTAAACATAGAGAACATTGTCCATATCATTTTCCACCAGGATTATTAATTTATAAAGATGATGAAAGACATTTAGCATTTTTTGAAGTTGATGGAGCAGAAGCAAAAATGTTTTGTCAATCACTTTGTTTATTAAGTAAAATGTTTTTAGATCATAAAACATTATATTATGATGTAGAACCATTCTATTTCTATGTTCTTTGTGAATTTAATTATAATGAACAATGGAAAAGTGATGATTATCATATTGTTGGTTATTTTTCAAAAGAAAAAGCTAGTCCTGATGGGTATAATTTAAGTTGTTTGATGGTATTACCACATCATCAACGAAAAGGATATGGTAAAATGCTTATTTCAATGAGTTATGAATTAAGTAAAATTGAAGGAATTCCAGGAAGTCCAGAGAAACCATTAAGTGATTTAGGATTAGTTAGTTTCAAAAGTTATTGGTCAGGAGTAATTGCAGAAGAATTATTAAATTCAACTGATATTCCCTCCATTGAAGATCTTACTTTAAAAACAGGAATAACAAAAGAGGATTGTGTAAGTGCTTTAGATACTTTAAATTGTATTTCTCCATATCGAGGATCACAAATTATTTCAATTAATCATATTAAAATGGAGGCATTACGTGAAAAATGTTCAAAGAAAGTGGTTTTAGTGAAAAAAGAATTACTTCATTGGAAACCACATTCAGTAGTAGTAAAATATCCTAATGTTATGCAAACTCTTAAGACATATTGTTAATTCAAGTGAGAAAGATATTTATTAATATTTTCAATATCAATTTTATCATTAAAAAAAATAACAAATTATTTTAGAGAAAAAATAAAAAAAAAGAATTTATTTTGTAAAAAACCCTTGATGACTGAAACAAGTAGCCACATTCCGAAGAAAGCTGATACAAAAGTAATTATTAAAAGAAGTACTATTGACCAAATCATGTCAGAAAGAAAGAAAAGAAAACAAATGAAAGACCAAATGAAAAAAATTCAAAAGAAAAATAAAAAAATTCATATTAAATTAAGTCTTGAACGTATTGTTGCTGTTAAAAAGAAACAAATGAATGAAACAGCACGTAGTCAGTTTCTTTCTAAAGTAATGGCTAAACAACCACCACGAGGATTTACTGAACCAGTTGCTGTTATGTTACTTAGAACTCCAATAACAGCAATTAAAGAAATTAAAGAAATATTAAATGGATTTGGATTAAGACAACCAATGGAAACTAGAATTATTGTTGGAACACCAGAAAATATGTCAAAATTAAAAATAGTTAATTTATATATTACTTATGGTCCTATTCATTCAGAAACTATTAGAGAATTAATTATTAAACGAGGTAGAATTCAAATTGGTGATCAAGAACCTATTGCTATTACAAGTAATTCTATTGTTAAAGAAGCTTTTGCAGGTAAAGTTGATAGTATTGAATGTATTGAAGATCTTGTTAATGAAATTACACAAGGTAAACATTTTGATGAAATTTTTAGTGTATTATCTCCATTTATATTTTCTAGTGAAAAATTTAGAAATTATAGATTTAATAAACTTGGAGGAGTGACAGGATTACGTGTTACTGGAATGGATGAATGGTTATTACAACGTATCTGATTGATTTTTACTGTTTTCTTTTGGTTTATTTTAGATAGTTAGAATGTAAATTTAAACAAAGTAATAATGGAATTTAATTCAATGTTTTATATTAAGTTCAATTATATAGATTTAATAATTGTTTCTCTGAAGCAGAAATAAGTTCAATTGAGTTTAGATCCATACATGAAGGTGGAAGAGATGGGTGTTGAAGAACATCACATGACCTTAAATAAAATTTCCTCAAATGAGTTGCTTCTGATAAAATAATTTGTTTTAGTAATTTACATTTACAGAGATTCACAAGTTGAATGGTTGTTGGAAGAGATAGAATTTCTGTTCCACTTACATTATAAAATAATAACTTAGTCAAATGAAGAGAATCAAGAAAAAGAATAGAAGTCAATGTACAAGAGTCACAACGAAGATAATTCAAAGAATGTGGAAGATATTCTAAGTCTTGGCATTGACATAAATCTTTTAAATATAAAGTTTTTAGACGACAATATTCAATTGTCTTATTAATTTGAGTATTATTAAGTAAGAGTGAAGTAAGTGTTGTAGGATATTTTGAGAGTGGTAATACATTAACATGAATGAGTTTCATATTTAATAAATTATTTGATTTAAATTCTATATAATCACTGTTTTCTATAATTATTTGTGTTGTAGATTCCGGAAGTGTTATTTCTTCATCAAAGTTACAATTGAAAAAATGAAGTTGTTTAAGACATTTAAATTTTGAATAGTCTGGATGAATAATTGTTGAAACTTTAAGACTATTCAATTGAAAACAATTTTCTAATGATAGAATATTAGGTATTGTTGATGGTATTGCTTGATATTGTAAATTAATTGAGATAGGTGTTTTTCTTGATGATGGAGGTTTATATGATTGAATAGAAAAATTAGGATCTATTTGAGAATTAGTTCGAGAGGAAGAAATAATTTTGTCTTCAGAGTCTTCAGTACATTCTGTTGTTTGTGAATCTTTAATAACAATGCATTGTGTAGAATCATCAGAAATAAAACTACCTTCAAAATAGAGAATGTCTTTATTTTCAATAAACCATTCAGATTTTGTGATACTAATATACCCATTTTTACTTATAATAAATTTTGATTTCATATGAATTTCATTGTAAATAAGTCGTTTACACAATGGTAATACTATATTCTGTTTATTTTCAATAGTACATGAAAATAATTTTAATTCAGTAAGTGTAGATGGAAATTTAATTTCATTACAACTAATAGAATGTATTTCTAATGATTTTACTTCTGTCAAAGAAGTCAGATCATAAATATTGTATTTTGTTTGTAAAATTGAAGGATTTGATAATATGAGTTTAAAAGCACAATATTTTTTCACCATAGATTGAATCATATTAATATTAGTTGTATTTGGTAACCATAATTCTTTTAATCTAATGACATTATCACTTGGAATATTGTTTTGACCTTCTACAGTAACTATAAATTTATATGCCTTAAATAGAATTAAATCATTATCTTTCATATGATGTGCTTGATCAAACATAAATACAGTTTGTTGTGGATATTTCAGTAAATGTTTAGTTATTAATGTTATTTCTGGGTAATGACAACGAACTAACATCCATTGTAATTGGTTATTCATTTGTTTTAAATGAATGAAATTACATTCACTTGAGAAATAACAATCAATTTTTGTTAGAGAAGTGAGTTGAGTAAATTGATTATTCCACTCTGATCGTTCAATAGAGATGATTCTGTTTTGAAGTGAATGAAATAGGGTGTATTGATCTTTATTGTTCAGTTTCATATCAATAATTTCAAAAGAAAGATTTAAAAAACTTAATGAAGGAAGTGAACAAAGTAATTGATATGAACAACGAATTGTTTTTAATCTTGGAAAAGTTAGTTGATTTAATTTCAATTCAGACCGATAATAATCATATTTTTCATTATCAATATTAGTCTGATTATCTAATAATCCATGTCTGGAGGAAGTTTGGATCATATTTCTAATTTCTTTACTAACTTGTTGTAGTTGTATTATATCTTTTATATTTAAATACGGTAGTACACAAAATATACCCTCTTTTAATTTAATTCTATTTGTACTAATAGGTGAATTAAATTGATATTTATGTTTAGGAATTAATTTACATGAACGATAGAGAGGAAACATTTCAATCACTTGTTTTTTTTT